CCAGCTCTGGGCACCGGGGCGTGGAGCAAGGCGCTGGCTGCTCCATCCCGAGGTGGCACGGTCGAGAGCCAGGCTGGCCCTGCGGAGCCTACTAGGCGCCGTTTGTTCCCTCGCCGCCGTCTGGCGTTCCTCTCCCGCAGTGCTGCGCCTCATCCCGCCGCCCTTGCTTGCTTGCAGCTACTGAAGACTAGCCCGCGGGCGACGAGTTAGGAGCGTTTGCTACTGATTGCGATGTGAGCACGGCCCGCGATGGGCTGCTGGGCCAAAGCCAGCAGTTCGAAACCACCAGCCGCTCGGGGGAATAAAGATGAGGCTTTCTATAATCTCCTCTCACAATCAAAGAGTTCCAGTGTTGGAAACCCACAGGGGCAGTTTTACCATGCCCTATAGGGTCGCTCTGAGTCGGCATCGACTCGGTGGCAATGGGATTTCTTTTTTTAAAAGGGTGACTCAGATGGAAGCCCGGTAGGGCTTTGAGTAGAGGTTAGGCTGATAACTTCATGGTCGGCGGTTCAAGCCCCTAACCTTCCCCCAAAGAAAAATGAGGTTGTTTGTTCCCATAAAAGTTTACAGTTCCAGTTTAGGTCGGATTTGATTCCAGGACCGTGGGTTGGGCTTATGTGTAGCACACAGGGCTCAACTACTATCTCAAAAGTCCCGTTGAATCCACCCTGGAAGAAAGGCCCGGCGATCCTTGCACGTGAAAGGTCACAGCCTTGGAAACCGTAGGGCGAACAGTTCTGCCCAGAAACACAAGGGCGCCTTTTTGTACTCTTCCGTGCCAGGTAAGGCGGTAGTTCGTTTACAAAGGTAACTCTTAGGAATGACTTTCAGAGGTCTGACTGCTACTGGAGCCCCAATTTGCAAATCAGTAAACTTGGGCCCGGAGACGTTAAGGAAATCGCCCAAGTTTAAACAGTTCAATTGGCAGATTCTGGACTGAGCTATCTTTAATGCTAGTCGTAGTATAGAATGGAAGCGATGTAAACAGTACCTGTTTTCATAATTATTAAACGAGAATGTGCCTCTCTTGGCCAAATGAATATTGTTGCTTTTTAAAATTCATACCTCTGTCGATGCATCTTTCTTAGTACTAGGAGATTGTGCATCAGCGTTGTCTCTAATTTGTGTGCTGCATACCCTAAATAAGCTCCTATAAATACCTACATGGGAATGGAAGGAGTGTTTTTTCTTGCCACACAATTCTTGACCTCAGAAAATTTGGTAACTTCTCTGAGCAGACTACTCCGTTAAGCCCTGCCTTGAATTTTGTTGAAAGCGAGGAGGAGCCGGAAGCCACCTGACTTGGAAAAGGGTTTTTGGTCCAGTCGGGGTTCTTTCACTTTCTTAGTTTCTGGGAACCAGACCAGAAAGGCTTTATCAAAACGCATCAAGTGACTATTAACTAGACTTCTTTGTTTCAACCTGATGTGCTCCCAGCGTTTCGCTGACTCCAGTTCAGAAACTGCCCTATAACCGAAATAACAAACACCCGTTTTCCTCTACAGCCCAGCCAAATCAGCTTTCCTTCTGCTAAACAGCCTGTCTCCGCGGCTGCAGTTTGAACAGCGTTTCATGTGTTTGGGGGACTGTAAAGAAAACAGTAGAGGGAAGAAGCCAGTGGAATGCATTTATAAGATTTATTTCTAAAAGCTGCCAAGTTGAAAATGGGATATGCCACACTTGTTTTATCCTTTTTCAACATGAACTGTGCAAACGAAATGAAATTATGTTATGTTTTCTTGGACTTACTTGGCCAATGGTGGAATACAATTTGTTGCTGAGTTTATACAGTGTTGAGTATGGCATTTCTTCAGCATATATGGATGGATGGATGTATCACATTTGTTCAGCTTTTTTGGAATAACCAAATAAGAATCAGCTATAAAAATTCAGCCAATCTCTACACATTTAATTAGATATAGCAGTTAAACTTAACATAAGCTATTGCCTCTCAAACGGAATTGGTTGAGTGGCTAGTAGATGATTTTGTTTATAGCATATATAAAATACTAGGTGTTTTCTAGAAAGCAATACGATGAGAGTTTAAAAAAACAATTTAAGTGGAGCTACTGGGAGGGTGGAGGGAAGGTGGGGTAGAAATGGGGAGCCCATGATATGGATCTACAATATAACCTCTTCCCTGGGGGATGGCCAACAGAAAAGTGGGTGAAGAGAGATGTCAGACAGTGTAAGATATGACAAAATAATAATGACGGAAAGGGGAGCTGGGAGGGAGGGGAAAAATGAGCTAATACCAAGGGCTCAAGTAGAAAGCAAACGTTTTGAGAATGATGAGGGCAACAAATGTGCTTGACATACAATGGATGGATGTATGGATTGTGATAAGAGTTGTATGAGCCCCCAATAAAGTGATTAAAAATAATGAAAAAAATAATTTAAAGTTAATTCATAATTGATCTTAGTGTGTCAGCTGTTTTATTGAGTGGCATACTGCACCTGAAAGAAATAACATAATATCCCTGAGTTCTTGTTACACTCCGTAAACCCATCACATTGGCTACATTGTGACTCTTTTGTAGCTCCACAGAACTTGGCAGTTCATAGAAAATAATCAGGGCCATGGTCTGTTGTAGAGCCGATTTTTCAAAGGTGAGTTTCCATTTGAAGACAGGTCCTAGGAATGAGTATTGTGAATATTTGGATGGGGGTGGGGTAGGGAGGGTAGGAAGAGAAAATTGCAAGCATTTTCATTTTAATAAGAGTCTTTTTTCTTTCTACTTGTAGACTAGGAATGAGTGTTGTGAATACTGTGGGGGTCTAGGGATTGCATACATTCAAATCTTAATAACAAAGCTATTTTAAGCAGTCAACATTTCTATTAATGATCTCCCTTATTTTTTCACTCAAACCCAAACCCAAATGCACCAGCATCTAGTTTCTGACTCAGCTACACTATAGCAAAGGCTAGACATGCCGCTCTGGGCATCTGAGACTATAAACCTTTAAGGGAGGAGGAAGCCTCATCTTTCTCCCAAGGAGTGGCTGGTGGATTTGAATTGCTGACCCTGAGACAGATTCTCTCTAGAGCAGGGGTTGGTAGACTGTACCTGGTGAGGTACGTACATGTGGCTCCTAAGTAAAATTGAAGAATGAATATAAAACTATCATAGTTTCATTCATAAAAAATATATTATTCAGATAATGGTGATTTCATTTGTTTGTGAAAAAATACATACGGCTCTCGAATACAATTTCAAGTGTTGTGACGGACAGGATTGGCTCTTCCATCTTAAACATTTGTCGACCTCTGCCCTAGAGGCATATGATCTTTGGCCATAGTGACTGTCCTTACCCAACTCTTAGGTAGAGCTGAATTCAGAACATCCCCGCAGGGCAAATGCCTTCTCTTCCAGGTGACTGAGCTCTCATTTTGTTCCCCACACCTGCTGCTGCTGCTGCTGCTAGGTGCTGGGGAGTCAATTCCAACTCATTCCGAGACTGCTAAGCTCAACAGAACGGAACCCTGCCTGATCCTGTGCCATCCTCACATCTGCTATGTTTGAGGTCATGGTTGCAGCCACTGTGTCAATCATCCCCTTGAGGATCTTCTTTTTCTCTGTCCCTCTTCTTTACAAGAATGATGTCCTCCATTGGGCCTCCACTCAAGTACTCCCTCAACACAAGAATACTTTCTTCTATTAAATTGGCATTCTATGATGCTCACCTTC